TCAAGAAACTCCACGGAGAAAAATATCAAGAAAGTCAAGAATGCAGGGATGACGGAGAAGGGCATGGGCGAAGGTAAAGATGGTGCCTTTCCATCATCTTCTTCTTCTTCTACAAGGGAAGATGAGATGGGAGTACTTGTCGCTTTGGTCAAGGAGTTGGAGGGTCAAATCTTGACCCTCAAGACTAGGGTTAATGTCCACTTATCCGACATCTACTATGGGAAGTTAGCTGTCAATGAAATTCATTGTCGGCTGAGTTCGGAACTTGCTGCTCAAAAAACGCAGGCCGACGCACTGAGGCGGCAGCTGGAGGCCGTGATTCAACGAGAGTATTTGTTGGTGGACAAGGTTGATAATCTGGTTTTTACTGTCGTGGAGCAGCTGGGTGGTGGTGTGCCGCCATCATGTCCGACTCCACGGACATGATAAATGAGATTTTGCTTGATTCCAAAATGGTTTTGCAGCAGGTTGGTTCGGCAGAAGAAGAACCATCTGGAGACAGGGCAAGAATCACGACAGAACTTGCGGAAGTGAGGTCTCCTTTGGACATGGTGAAGGGAAGCAAATCAGCACTACTACTGGCAGAGAAGAAATTGGCTGAAACAGAGGACAAATTGGCTGCTACTCTCAATGAAGTTGCAGAGAATAAACAGGGCCTCGAGGAGATTGCGTATGAGAAGCAAAAACTTGAGAGGAAGTTGAGCTGCTTGGAGGATGAAAACAAAGTGATTATTGATGTCAAAACAAAGTGATTATTTTGACAACATAATCTAAAAGTATTCGCAAAAATGTTGAAAATCAAGTCACCCAGATCAGTTCAAATTGCTTTTATTCAGAGCAAAAGCTGAAAATTTTATTCAAAATCAGTCTCAAACACTCCCTTATGATTAGGCAGGGTGTTTTAATCTATTCTTCTATGGCATATGACCAGAGCTAAGTGGTTTTGTTTTTTCTTCTGTTTAGTTTCAGACACTCGTTTAGCACATCACTCTGTGAGAGGTTGTTTCAATCCTTGAGAACAATGATGAAGCTTGTGTCTCATGAGTTGTGTGCTCACAGAGGCAACACAACCAGGCCTTTTTTGTTTGCACAAATGAGCGCTTTCTTTCACAGTGGCCAGGTCAAGTATTTTTCCATTTGGCTTTTGCATTCACATATCTGTAGGATAGGGTTTCATGTTATGTGTTTAATTTTTTTGACCTCTAATGTTAAAGGATATCAAGATTCATGTGGAGCTATTAACTTAGTATTGACCATTGGAAAACTGGAAATGGTACTATTCATAAGTCTATGTGCAAAAATGGTTAAAACAGAGAGGCCCTTTCGTTTAGACACTAGATGCATTGTTGCATTTACTGCCCAAGACTTCATAGAAAGTAAGAACCAAGAGAAGTTTAATTTTCCATTATTATTATTTAGTTTGTCATGTGCCTGGAACTTAAATTTTGTCAATGATGGCTTTTAGTTCTATTGGCAATGGTCTAATTAATAGTATGTTAAATATAGAAATTCGACCATCTGTGTGAGATGGCTGATGGATTTTCAACTCTAGCTTCAAAACCTTGTAGCTAATTGCATTCAGTGTGTGTGCCCGTTTATTGTGTGAGATAAGTTTAAGATTTTAAGTTCTTTGATGATGCATAAAAAATAAAGCTTACCTTGGAAACAGCCTCTCTACTTCCATTCTTCCAAGCAGGGGTAAGTTCTACGTACTCACCCTCTAGACCCTACTTTTTTGTGAGATTCTATTGCGTTTGTTGTAAAAAAAAGCTCACATAGATATCCTTTGACGACAGACTCGTTACTCGCCCAGAAGCTTTTTTGGAGTGGAGGATTTTGCAGATGATGACAATAGCCGACCGTACACGTACCAAAAGGGAAAAAAGTCAAAGAACCCACACAAGCATGTTTCCTTCAAGCAAAGAACTGGGCCTTTCATAGAGCCCTTCACGCTTGACGTCTTCATTTCAGCGCGATATGTTTCAGCGTCAATCACACACAGAGTGACTTGCAAGCAGGTTGCAGTCGCGGGCACAAACTCAAAGGACATTAAGGCTATGCTGAAATCAAGGTGTGACATACCCGCATGCTTGGCTGTTGGTCGGATTTTGGCGGACAGAGCGAGAGAGGCTGATGTGTACACCACTGCTTACACTCCTAGGGATAGTGACAAGTTCGAAGGTAAAGTAAGAGCTGTGGTTCAGTCTCTCATTGACAGTGGCATTGATGTCAAAGTTTATCTTGACTGAGAGAGATTTGAGGTGCGTTTGCCTCTCATTTACTAGAGTTTCTCGACTTTCAGAAGAAAACCTTCTTTTGTTTAAGTGCACACTGATCTGTTATTAACTTGTTACTCCTTATATCATTGCCTTTTGCTTTCCCCAGACATTTTTACTTCAATTTTTTTTCCAAGTGTGAATAGCTGCTCCTAGTTATTGTTTGGTAAATCTACTCATAATACCCCCACTTTTCGGAATCTTGTTAATATTCATAGTTCATGAGGTAAAATATTGAAACAGGTTGTATGATTCTCATTGCTCATAACTTTCACCCTATATTTTCTAAAAAGATCAAACAAATTCTTTTTGGAATAAATTCTATAAATAGTCCATTATAAGTAGGGGGTTTCCATATTTAGTCCATAATTACCGGGTATTATTGTTTTAGTCCTTTTTAATTGGGGTCCTTTCCTTGTTCCATCCTCCGTCAAAGATCTGTCTTTCTTTGGTTAATTTAGGGGTTCGGTTTGAATTTCACCAGGCAACACAGGGCATTATGTTGAAGTACTGTTCACAGCTGATTCTAACCCTAACCCTGATTTTGTTGAGTTTTTGGTGCGTTGTTTGGTGTTCTTGGAACAGTTTTAGTAAAGGATTCCAATTTTCCTGATTTCGGGTTGGTTTTGGCAGCGTTACTGTTCATGCTGCAATTGGCTTCTTTAATTTTTTCCAGATTCTTGCTTGTATTTTTTCCTTTTGTTCCTGATTTTTGGGTTTTTTGTAAAGATAGCTCATTGCTTTTGTTGGATTTCTAATTCAATCAATTTTTTGTGAATTTCTTCAGTTCTTGATAACTGTTCATGTTCTTCAAGCTGTGTTGATGTCTGCTATTTCTTGAGTAGTTGTTTAGATGTTTGTGGACTGTTTGAGGTTGTGAAAACTGAAACCTTAGTTCTTCCAACAAATTGAATGTGAATGGTGGCTATACATGGTAATTGAATATCTGAAATGTGGCTGAGGAGTGAGGACAAAAGATAGAAACAAATTCTTTTTATGTAGGTGGAAGGAAAATAAATGAAATTACAATAATAGCCTTTAACTTAACGCAACTAACACAAATCTTTGACGGAGGATGAAACATGGAAAGGACCCCAATTAAAAAGGACTACAACAATAATATCTACTAAATATGGAAAACTCTTATTTATAAAGGATGATTTATAGAATTTACTCTTCTTTTTGTGGTGTGTATTCCTTATTAGTGTTATGATTCACATCATAGCCGTGTTGAACTTTCAATTGCATATAGATCTATGGTTCAAATATGGATTTGTATTAGAAAAATGTTAGGGTGCTACCATGGGTGCACCCATGCTTCGCACAGACAAACACAGACGATATCGTCTGTGCGACACAGACAATTATCGTCTGTGTTTGTCTGTACGAAGCATGGGTGCACCCATGGTAGCACCCATGTGGTGGCACCCTAGCATGGTCCTTTGTATTAATATTTGAAATATTTGAATTCAAATCAACATATTCAAACACAAATTATGAATTGAGTCAAAATTATTCGTTTCATTTACAAATCTATGGATAACTACACCTAAAAATTGCAATAGTTTGCATGTGACATAGCATTTGTGCGTTTTTTTAGTTGTCCCCATTTGAAGGCTTATATTTTTTTCATGCATCTTTTTTTATTTCGGAAATATTCTATCATTACTTTTTTGAAATTAAAAATATCAAAATTATTCTCACGGTGTTTATTTATTTACATCTCAACCACCTTATTTGGTATAATCATTTTCGTTAAAGATATTTTAGATTTGATCTGGTCTGATTTGATTGAATTTGATCTGATTAATTCTAATTAGATCTGATCTTATTTTATTAAGAATAAATAATAAGCTGAAAGAATAAGTTGTATTGAAGGGAGACTTAAACCCTAAATCCCCCGGTTAACTTAAAAATAGTAAAAAATTAATGGGTGAAATGCAACTGCCATTCTCAAGTAATATTCTCTTCATCTAAAAAAGATTGCAATGATTTGAATTTTTTGATCAAATTATGCAACACTTTGACCACAAATTATGAAAAAAATTATATCCAGTTGTTCCTTCCGTCCTAAAACGTCCTTCCTAATTACGGAGTACTCCGTACTATTTATACGGTCAAATTTTAATCACTTTTTTTTATCTATTTTTGTTAGTTATTTGATAAAAAAATTATTATCTTGTTATTCTTTTTTTGTAGAACTTTTGAGATAGTTTTTAAATATAGAAATTTATTTTTTAATTTTACACCTATAATCAAATAATTGAATTGAAAATTAATTCGATGTGGGGAACATATAATTTTGAAATATAAAATCTTTATAATAATCAATTATTTTAAAATATCAAATTTTTATAATATTTAATTATTTTAAACTATATTTAATTAATGATCAAAGAGTGAAAATGTTTGACCTAAAAAATCATACTTCCTCCGTTCTCAAAAACACTTCATCTTTCATTTTTTCCACTTCCAACAAAACACTTCCCTTTTCTATTAAAAAACCATTTTTACCCTTACTTTTTCATATCCTACCTATCACATCATACTTTTTCTCTAATAATCTATCCATCACATCTTACTTTTACCCATCACATCAGGGGCAAAATTAGAAATCAACTATAATTTAACACTTCCTTATTTTAGCCCCAAATCCAAATGGAAAGTGTTTTTCCAAACGGAGGGAGTACTATAATAATCTTTTTGAGACAAAGGAAATAACTTTTAAACTTGTGGTCATTTTGTTGTTACATTTGGCATCATTCTATTCCTTTAAGCCCAATTTTTGGCAGTTACTTTTTGATACTCACTCCGAAATGTTTTGCACAATTTAAAAAATGAGATAAAGTATCAAGTTTTTTCATTAATTTTATTTAATTATTGGTATAGAAATAAAAAATAAAATTTACATATTTAAAAACTATATGAATTTTTTTTAAAGATATATCAAAAATATTTTAATTTTTTAAATAATGAATAGAAACGTACAAGGAAATAAAATTTCTGTGATTACTGAAAAAACAAGTGTTTGAAACTAGGGCTGTTCATGTTTAGGTCCAGACCGAAAAAACCGACCGACCCGGACCGTTAGGTCCAGACCGAACCCGGACCGATTAGATTTCGGGTCAGTCTTTGGTCTTGATTATTTGAGTTTTCGGGTTTCGGTCCGGTCCGATCCAAACCCGATATTATTTCGGTCTGGACCGAATGGACCGACTACTTAATTACGGAGTATGTCAGTTACTCCGTACCTGTGTTATCCACTTATCCCTCCAAGTAGAAATCTCACCCTCTAGCCTTACCTAAACCACTCATTTGTTATCCATTCATTCTCTTCTCTTTCTTCTTCGACGCAAGAGAGCATGAAATCAGAAGGGGATGAGCTAATATTTTATCCGAAAATGCCCAGGGAGCGAGAGAAAGGAGAGTTCGAGGATGATGGAGGTGGTTCCGACACTAAGTCTTGAACCCTAGCCGTCACCCCAATTCTAACATCCATCGTCTTGTTAATTTAACGCCGGTGGTGCAGCGATGCCGGCCAACATCGAAGCAGAAACCACTCCCGCTGACACCTTTGTTTTCGATATGTATTTTGGATGTATTAAGTCCCGCACTCCAGCCGACTTCAGATGAGGATTGCATAACCATCGGTGATTTACTGATTTTTTTAATTTTTAATTTCAAGTTTTCAAATTATCAATCACTGCTAGTCCACTGTCCATTGCAAATTTGCATTATTCAGTACCCTACACTTTACTTTAGGGTACTTTTTATTGTTATTATGATTTTTTTTGAATTGAAATGTTATTTGCAGGATTTTGAGTTGTTGTTTTGGCTATTTTGTGGCCTGCTTTTTCTATTTACATTCTCAATTCGGTCTTCTCGGTCCAAATCGGTTCGGTCCAATTAATATCGGTTCGGTTCGGTCTGAACCCGACAAGTAATAGGTCCGGTCTTCGGTCCTCTTTTTATCTTGATTCGGTCTTCGGTCCGGTCCGGTTCGGTCCGGTCCGGTCCGGTTCTGGACCGATGAACAGCCCTATTTGAAACATTTTGGGATTGTGGAAGTATAACCAAACCCAATTGCAAGTCGTATTTTCATAACTTACCCAAAAGCCAAAAGATAAAGAAAAGAATAAAAAAGGTTTTCTAGATATATATATATATATATATATATATATAATGTTTTTAGAAGAGTATATATAAATTAAACGGGACAAACAGGATGGAACGGTATACTTGTATGTTATCCCGGTAATGTCCCACTTAAAATCGGGACAAAACGGGTTAGGGACAAAAAAATTGAATAAAAAAAGATACAATTTCAAAACGGTTCCGGCACGTTTCGGAACGGGTCAACGGGAACGGTTTTCGTGTCCACCCCTAGAATTACTACTGTTTTTTGTATTTTTAAAATATATTCGGAAATAAATACGGAGTATTATAGATTTATATAAATTCAATAAACCTATATCATTTATATTTGATGTCTAAATGATATGTCTCTAAAAAAAGTCATTTTGATATTCCACATTGTAGAATAGCAAATAATTTTGTTTCATTCCGTGCATGACATGGGTTAAAATATTACTCCGTAGTTTTATAACAAATTTTACATTTTTTGAGTTAGGGTAAAAGTTTTTAAATTTCAAACATCATCATATCGTCCTCAGTTAGATTAGATCTAAACGGCAGTTTAAGTCAAACAATCTCTCGGTCTCTCCATAAATTCAATTCACCGAGAGAGACTGAGAGAGAGGGAGAGAGATGGAGGTTCAGTGGCTTCTGGTGTGCCACGGACTGGTGACGCTTCTGGTGGTGGTCTCCTTTCTCTGCGGCCAATGGCCCATCTTCGACGGCACTTTCATTCAACGAATCCACGTCTTCCTCACTTCCGGCGCATATGATTATCTCCGGTGAGTTCATCTGATACACGCAGGCACGCTTTGATTCGAGCTTGTTTCTGAGCTTTTGATTCAAATTTTACTCAGGCGATTAATTGCCTCTACTTTTGGTCACAAGGGCAATGAAGCTCTCCTCTCCTTTGAGCTTTACTGCTGCGATCGTCCTAACCCTATTTTACAGGTCTTCCATTTCTTGCTTAATTTACCCAATTATGATGTCGAAAACCTGTGTTTGGAATCCTTATATATTGCATTGGACATTTGATTATGAGTTAGATTGTTCAATCTTTCTTGCACTGGATACAGAACCTTTCTCTTTTTTTAAAAAAAAAAAGTTACTTTGAATGGGAAAAAAGAGCTTCTTATTGGGTGCATCTTTGAACTCTGGAATGCAGCTAATATATGCGGCAATACTTGGAATTACTTATTATATTATTGTACAGACCACATTCCACTACATTCCCGGTTATTACCTAGGTGAGGTGCACAGGTACAAAGAAACACTCCCATTTTATCGTCAAACTGTATTTATCAATGCTCGTGTCTGTGTCTGTGTGCATAAGTGATATATATCCGAGGTGCATTTTCGTTTTGTATGTGTCTGCTCGAATCTCTATACATATAATATGCATTTTCAGGTATACAAGCTTGTTGGCAGTTTCTGTGGGTGTTCTGCTCTTTCTATTAACAAGTTTTTCTGACCCGGGAACTGTAAAGGCTGAGAATGTATCTCAATATCTCTCTGCCTATCCGTATGACAATATCATTTTCTCAGAGAAGGAATGTACAACTTGCAAGATCCGAAAGTGAGTCAAGGATCAAATCTTGAGATTCAATGTAATCTTCCAAGATAGCACATGTTTTTTATGAACTTGCATTAAACTCTACCATTTTTAATGAACTTTAATGCTCTCCTTTCAAAACTGGATTCAAGTATCTGAACTAAAAGCATCTATGCAAAAACAAGAAAGCTAAAAGGGTATGTAGAGAAGAAATTTTCAGTAAAAGCTAGAATTAACTTTAACAACAAAATATCAGCTTTTTGTTGTTTTGTCTTAGGATCCTCGAGAAAAATTTGATGAAATAAATTTTGAGAACAAAAGTAACTACTGATTAATAGCTTCTAAAAAAACTAATACAACTATTGATTTCAACATGCAATTAGTTGTGTTTCTTTCTAAAATTTAACTTATGATTTGCCTCCACACATCGAGCATATAGTTGATTCACCGAAGTCCAAATAGGTTTCCACATGATGAGTTGACATCTTGAATTGATGAACCTTGCAATTAAAACTATTTATTTTATGATTTGGGTGACTATTTGTAATTTTGTACTTCTAGCTTAAACCAATTGAACTTTATTTTAGGCCTGCTAGATCAAAGCACTGTAGCATATGTGGCCGCTGTGTTGCTCGGTTTGACCATCACTGTGCGTGGATGGTTTGTAACTCATACTATTAGCTACGCTGGTTTCACTTTATCATGTAGTTTAATTCATGTCTTATTTCATATTAAACAGAATAATTGCATCGGCGAGAGAAACACCAGATACTTCATGGCTTTTCTTTTCTGGTGAGTAAATTGCATTTAATATGAAGAATTGTTGTACTCTATTTGTTTGATGTTACATGAATATGTTTCCTTCTCTTGGAACATGTCATATGTATTTTGCACTTATATTAAAAATGCAGACCGGATCTAATTGGCATTCTAAAACTGGATGTGTGTATGGCTTTTTCTTTCTCTAATTTTTCTTGCAACCGCTACATCATTTGACGTAACACAAATGCAGAAGAAATCCGTTGTCATTCATTAGTTCTCCACTTCTTTTTTCTTAAAAGCCTATATGCCCACAGGGGAAGGGATGAGGTCTGCATACATTTTATCCATGATACCCTACATTTGAGTGAGATATAATGCACATGTTTGGTTTGATTTGGTTTATCCTTTGTCAATAGTTAGGCTCCTCTCAAGAAATCGGTTTCTATAAGTAAGAACATATTGCTTTGGATCAATCAAAGAAATTGCGTAGGATAACCCTTTGTTTAAGAAAAATCAAAGTAAAACTTGCCTTGAAACGTTGGGCATTAGAAAATTATTTCGTATAACATAACTAGTATACAACAATAGACTGACTAGCATCTTAAGTTAATGGTTAAATTGAGTTGTATTATATGTCTCTTGTTTATGGAATTTTATGGAATATTTGGAAGACTATTGTGTACACTCTCTGTCCCACTATTTTTCTCTTTTACCTTGTTTGTCCATCCTATTATTTGTCTCATACCATATTTGGTAATGTTTGTGTGGCTCACATTCATTCTTACTTTTTCTTACCTTGTAACATTAATATGAACCACACAATTCTGATTTTCATATTTTGCATGTCACTATCAATGTCCCAGAAATAGTGGGGGGAAGGGAGTAGCTATTAAGCATACACCCATCTTCTTAAAACAACATTAACAAACTTCCATGGAAAACCAATGGTTTGTCTCATCTTATTCTGGAGGAAATAGATTAGCTTCTACGGAGTAGTATGTTTTTTTTAATATCAAATTAAGTTCTCATATGCCAAAAAAACTATAGTATATAGCTTTTATATTTTGCTTGGCACAGATTGGTGAACACTATTTGAAACTTCAAGTTTTGTATTCTATTATGACGTAATGTGTAACATTTAATGTATAAATAGGATGCATATGAGTAAATAACTAAATTTGGACCAAGGCTTAGCGGAGTTGGGAATGATTTGACATGATGTGATGTTTGATTGTTGACCTCTCTTCAGGCATTTCCTACTTTGTGTCTATGGAACTGTTGCCATTGCCCTCGTTCTAGCTGGTCAGTTGAAAGAACAACAGGTTATACGTATTCTTACAGGTAAATTGGAATAGTGGACTACTTCTATTCATGCTATACATAATTTAAAAAATTGAGTACTATAGCAAAAAAATGTAAAAACCTACGGCATTGTTACTATTGCAGCCTATTATGGCATTGAAAACTCATTCGGGACCTTGGCTCCATATGTTGTACAGGTAAATTAAAGGTACATTTGGATATTGTGTCATGATCTCTATATCTTTTTATGTTTAAAGAAACTACTTCATCCGTCCCACTATCGTTGTCCTTTTATACTGTTTTATCCGAGCCACTATCTCTGTCCCATTCCATATTTGTTATATTTGTGTGGTCCAAAATTTCATCCATTGCAATGGCTAAAAGAGTCGTTACCAACAACCTCTCTGTCAATGAACAAAATACCCCTCATAATTAGAATAAAATATGCAAAAGGACTAAATTGGGTCAATGGTGCATAAATGACCTAAATGTCCCCAGGTGCCTAGCCAATAGATAGTTGAGGACAAATTTAGTGATAACTGATAAGTAAACAGGGTATACTCTGCAATTTAGAGGTAACATTGGGTTAGTGTTCCTCCTGGAATGACACAACTGATTAAGTATTGCCTCTTGTGCCTGGGAGCCCAGGTTCAACTCCATCCTTGCCAAAAAAAGGATATATGGCCTAGATTGTCTACCTCCCATCTCAATTCCCAAACTGTGATTTTTTTACTGCTAATGATTTAACTTTTTTTTATTTGTTTTTAGCTGTTCGTTTAGTCATTTTCGTATTCGACTAATAATATTTTGGGATGTTACAGTGGTTGATGGGGTCATACGACACACAAGTACTTGTTGTAATTTTCCTGGCTATTATATCTATGCTGCTGGCTGGATTCCTTGCATACCATTCAAAACTATGTCTCACAAATACCACCACAAATGAGGTTCACTTTCTTAAATCTTTATTACACTTCATGTGGTCATTATTATTGTACTCAGTTTTGTTTAAATCTTTCAGCTTCTCTCCCTCTGGACCATGCTTTGCAATATTTTTTTTCAAGGGTAATATGAAAAATGTACAAGATGATCCCAAGATATATCTAGTAGATTAAACATCTTCCGCAAATGACTCATTCTGTTAGATATCCGGGAGCATCAACGGAGACTTTCCTTAGCCCACAAAAGGAAAGACGGATCAGGGGAATAAATCCAAAGTGTGGTGACGTTATTAGGGTTGAATCCACTCCTTCGCCCTTCCCTAAAGCCCAAACCAACACCAGGGCTGTCCTACACCCCACCTAGGCCGAACCAACACCCCCCCCCATTCCTTCCCTAAACATCCAAAGTTCCTTGTCATTTAATTCCTTTCAAAATAATGTTTTCCTACACTTATTTTTAGCCTATGGCAGAAAATAAGAGTGTGTAAACCAAAACCTTTTGTTTGTTGTTATTTCCCTTTTTCCTTTCTTTCTTTGGTCAAACTTAGGGCATCCCATGAACCCCATATCACCCCTGGCAGAAGTTCTTTGCATAAACCACAACCAAACAAAACACTTCAATTCCCTCATTTGAGAGTCAAGGATACCAGGCCAAAACCACTCCCTTATTTCACACAATAAACCCACCATTACCAGCCAAAAGCCCTCTCTTATTCCATGTAAGAGACCTGCCCCTGTCCCCCCTTTTGTTCCCCAACAAAGCTGCACAGCCCTGGCCCACCACTACTAACTCAATCAACTCTCTCTTATTCTCTGAATTTTCTCCCTACCTAGAAGACATAAGGGGCTGATGAATATTTTCTAGGAAGCTTCCTTATGTCCCATTAATTGTATTGTGTGTTTCCCCCCCACTTTCCCCTCCATATATAATTCGGCCTTAGGGCCATGTTGTAAGGCAGCTTTTTGATGAATTAAAACATTACTCTTTGAGTATATTTTAAATAGTGTGATGCTATTTAAGCCAAATTCCTAATTCTATATCTTAAGAGTGGTTATCTTAAGTGTGAGTTTTAGGTTCTAGATATTTAAATAAGTGTGTAATATCTTATTTGAATTCTAGATTCAAACCTCAAGTTAAGATAAGAGTGTGTCATATTTCTTAACACCAACTTGGTTTATCCCCTCCTATTTTATTCCCCCATTTCGTGCCTCCCCATATTCTCTTCCTAAACCTCTTCTTTTTCTTCATAAAAAAAAACACCAAAAGAACTCCCCTTTTGCCCCACAATATTTCGGCCACCCCATTTCCCCCTCACCTCCCCATAATTCCTTCTCTAAAATAGCAACGTGATAAGACCCCGGGTCTCGGGTATAACACATTCAATCATGTTGAAGTATCAGACCATGAGTTAATCCACTAGATTCAATCTTTTGAGTATGGATTGACCCTAGTGTCTTGTGGTTCAGTTGACTGACACTGACCGAATTTTAATTTCTATTAAAAAAAACAATTTTGTATGCTTGGGATATCTATTTCCTTATCGAGAAACCCTAAACCCAAACCCGGAGGGACAGACTTGAGCTCTCAGGGGCACCTACCCTAATCCCCCCACCTGACCTAAACAGTAAGGGGAGAAAGTATAATGGGTTCATACTGCAACCCACTGTTGCATTATGTGAACAACAATCATTCATCGTTTTTGTGATATGGTCATGCGGAAATGCAGAGTTTCAAATGGGACGATTATGTGAGGTGGCAGAGAAAGGCAAACGGAGCGAAGGCAAGTGCCGTGGCTTTAAAAGCAAGTGCAGATGGAGTTGGGCATGAAACAAAGCAGCATGTGAGCAAATGGAAGAAGGCATTGTGCTGTAGATCTCATTGCCTAGAGGAAATTGAGGTTGTCAAAACTAACGTTTATGACAAAGGGTTTTTGCAAAACTCACTTGAGATCATCATTCCGCTCTCAACAAGGAAGTCTTTTCATACTAATAATAAATCCAAATCAGGGTAGATTTGGTGACCCTATAAACTAATATTCCCTCGTCCCATTATTATTTTGTTTGTTTGGGATAGACACGATTTTTAATAAAATAAAACTTGTGTGAGTATGATATATATACATATATAAAGAAGAGAAAAATAACATGGATGCCACAACATTTTCCTAACAAAAAAAAAAAAGAAAAAGAAAGTGAGTAAATTTTGGTTAGACACAAATATAAAAATTGGAAGACAATCTTCTATGAAGAGCAATGGTGAGAAACGGTCACTTTGCTTCACACATGTCTATAGCATGTGGGCTGCCCGTTCACATGAAGGGAGAGATGAGTGCCTTTTATAATTTTTAATAAGTAGACAGATTGCCTGATAAATCAAAATTGTGTTTGGTCGTGTGAAAAATATTTCAAAGGAAAATTATTTTTCAATCGTATTTTCCGTTCTTTGGTACTTGGTAGGAAGAAAATATTTTATTAGAAAATAAGGTTCTAAACTTACCAATTCCAGACTTAAAATTCTACGTAGTATAACAAGAAAAAGAATTTGAAATCAACAATTTGGATTCTGCAAGTCAAATTGAAATCAAGTAAATTCTTTTCGGATCATAACAATGAAACATGTCTTGTAGATTTTGGGTGTAGAAAATTTAAACCATAAACTTTAAAATTTGGAATTTAAACTTTAAAGTTAAAAACAAAAAAACCAAAACTATGAACTAAATTTTAGAAATTAAAAAATAATAAAAATAAAAGAAAATTTAAATAAAACCAACAATTTTAAATTTAAATTTTAAGGTTTAAAACTTAAAATTATGATTTAAAAAAATTTAAAATAAAGATTAAAAAATAAAAAAAATTAAAATTTAAAATCTAAAATTAATATTTTTAAATCAACAAACATGGCAAACATGGCAACTTAAAGAAACAAATGGAAACTTTGGATGATGTGGCATGACTTAGCAGACAACAACTTTCTACCGCTGCTTCTCTTAATTAAAAATTTAAAATGGACGATTTTGGAAACATGAGTACTAAATTAGAAAGGACGGCGTATGTAATTATTGTTTTTTGAAAAATAATTTTCAAAAACATTTTATTAGAATTGAAATTTACTCAAATTATTCCCATGTTACATACTTTTAGTTTATTGAAATTTTAATTGAACTAAATTCAACTGAGTTCATTACTCGTTTTTTTAGTACAACTATATTTTAGCAGAGTAAAATCCCAAATATAGATTAATGAAAAATATAAAGTTTTAGAAGTGATCATAAACTACTCCGTATTTCGTAAAAAAGAATGAATAATTATTTAAAGCATGTGATATCATTTATCAAAAATTAAAAAATGCGTTTGAAATAATATTACTCCGTAGTATAAATAAAAGATTAAAAAGAGATCTTCGGCTACAATCAAATTTTAAATTAAAAGAAATTAAGAAAGCTTTCAAGAAGTGAAATTGAAAGATTTTTTCTGTTGGACGATTATTTATGATAGTATTTATTATGATAGACTTTGTATTTTTGTCAGTTACTATTCTTGTCTCCTACTATTCTTGACGTGGTTAATTAGATGAGTTGGGGACGGAACTGAGTAGAGGTTTACCGGAGGGGTTAAAGGAGGTATGAATCATCAATTTTGCGAACGAAGTACCGTAGGTATCCTAATTGGGTGAGTGGCTTCCGTAGCCACTTTTTTTGAGTGGCTCTAGAACCCAGCCTTCGAAAAAATATGGAGCATATGATCTAAAATATTTTCTCTCTTCTAGACAAACATTAATTACTCATCTTTCAATTTTGAGTATTTTTTATTTATCTTTGTAAGCTTTAAATGAATATTCAAAAAAACTTTATGAGAGGATGAGAGAATTATTACAGAGTAAGATAAACACATTTTAATTTTTTGGTCAAACTTTGACATTCTTTGAAAACAAATTAAATATAATTAAAAATATTAAAATATTATAAAAATTTGATGTTTCAAAATTATATTTTAAAATAAACCCAATTGTACTAAATTTACATTATAACTAAATATCATTTATCCATAATTCGTAGTCAAAGGGTGCTATAATTTGACCAATAAAATTAAATTGTGAGTATCTTTTAAGAACGAATTCCCCTCATCTCACCATATATAAACATCACACTTTCTTTTTGGGTTTGTCCCAAATAACAATCCATTTTCTTTTTTTGGTAAAATGTTAGCATCTTCAGCCGCACTTTTTTTCCAACATTTCTTTAAAATGTACCATATCAGAGGTGGGAGACAATTGTGGTTAAACCTTGGCCAATCATCATGTTGATCAATTCTTAAACATAAAATATAAATTAGGGATTTAATCATGTGTACCTGATAATCCTGTAAACGTAGTTAGAGATGAGACCATGATTCTCACGCAGATCGAGTTCCCGTTTAGGGTGTATCGTTATGATGGCTAAGGTGAGGAAGACTCACGAGAATAGAGAGGCAGAGAGGAGGCATAAGATTGGTGTGCTCTGATCTGCCTAATGACCTCTATATATACACCCAAGGGGAAACCCTAATTAGGTCGTAAGGGTAATTACGTCCATCGAATAATTACCAAATAAAAACGTAGGGTATTTATTAGGTCAATGATCAATAAATTAGATAAATGATAACTTAGGCCACATAATAAAATTGTGTCCAACACATGATACTCATCACTAAATAAAATAGTCTTCGATTGGAAATTTCTTTCCAAGATATTAGGAATGCTGCCATTCTTGGCCATTGGATATTTGGATGAAGATCTGCGCAGTACATTCCAAGATTCAAGATTTACCAAAGTGACATGTAAACTTAATGCACAAGCAAAGAGAAACAAAGCTACTCATTTTTCTTCATTTGATATGGGAAGATAATAATCTTCATGTCCTTAATTGGTAAGAGAAGAAGAACAATAGCATTACACTGCAAATATTCAAGAGACTACTTTGACATGAGAAGATTTTAACGCAGGAAAATATAAATTGCAACGGGACAACTAGGAAGCGTGAGGAGTAAAATGATGACAAACCCCTCAACTCAGTGAAAGCGGGCAGCATATGCCAGAGAAATTGCAGCGAAGAGAGTAGTTGCCGAGGAGACAATGGCCAGGAAACTCTTCTTTTTGTTGGCATGCACTACCAAATTCTTCAAACACTCGACTTCTCTCTTCATGTCCTCAACTTTGATCTCTCTATCCTTCAAGCCTTTCTTAATGGCTTCCAATTCCAACACGTGTGGGTTGATTTGGCTTTCTTTTAGTTTTCTAGCACGAACCCGGCCCATCTCTTCATTTGATCCTCCAACCGAAACTGCTGTGGTCCTCAACATCTCAAGAACTTTATCTAAGTCTGCACTTGCTTCGTCGAGTTGAGCCCGGAGAGAAACTATCTCCTTGTTGAGCAATTCAGATTGGATTTTTATCTCTTTCTTTTCGCCCAAAATATTAGCACAATCAGTCTTGGTTTTCCCAAGCTCTGATGCAACTTCATCAATGCGTTTCTCTAGTTCCTTAATCTTTCCCTTCATCACCAAACCATTCTGTTTTTCTTCATCGAGCTCCTTTTGTGCACGGTCTCTCTCAAAGAATGCTCTTTCAGATGAAGATTTGTACTTCGCCACTTGGGCCTTGAACTCAGCAATTTCCTCTTCTTGAACCTTGGAAGACTTCTCCAACCCAGAAATGGTATCCATGAGTACAATAACTTGATTGTGCAATTTGATCACCTCGGCTTCTGCCCTAGTGTTTGCATCTTTCATTTCCATGTTCTCGAGAACAAACCTCTCAACAGTCAGTTTCTTCTCTTCTATCTCCTTAAATGCATTTGCTAATTTGCTCTCGATCAAACTGTTTTCCCCATACAGCATTGAGATCTTACTCTCACTCTCAGTTTTCTCCATCATCAACTCGCTTATTTTCCTTTCCATCTCTTTCCCATTCTCTATGCTCTCCTCGAACATCCTCTCCAACTCGGTCGCATTCTTTCTCAACACAACCTCAACCTCATGCAAGTTCAACACCTTCCCTTTGAGGAATTTGAATTCATTTTCCAATTCGCGTCTTTTCTTCATTTCAGCATTCTTCTCCTCCACTGCAGCCTGTTTCTCTCTCTCAATCACTGCTAGCATCTCCTCGATCACTCTCTTCTCCTTCACAAGAAGACAGATCGATCTCTGGAAGCCCATAGCCCTTTCTCCTACATCGTCCTTCTCTTTCCTCATCCCTTCCATCTCCTCTTCCATGGAGCTCATTCGCTCACCCATCTGAGCGCGGAGATACTCGGCCTCCAATGTCTTCTCGAGCTCCAAACGCGCCGCACTATCAGCCACGCGAGTCAACTCGGCCCCCACGAACAGCTTCTCCGATTCCGCCCGTGCCAGCTCCGATTCGAGTGAGATTTTCTCCCGCTGGAGAGAGCCGACAAGGTCCCGCTTCTCGGCGGTCTCCTTGATAAGCCTGCCGTTGAGGTTCTTGAGAATCTCCAGCTTCTCGAGCGCGTAGTCGTCGGGAAGGCGACCGTCATGGGGATTCTCCTCCGCGGGGCGAACGGGCTTCTTCTTAGCCATGGTGTTTTCCGAGACGGCCTGCTAACGGCGAATCGTGAGATGTGGAAATGGTGTGGAGAAGGAAATCTAGGGTTTTCA